AAAAGGGGTACATTTTACCATATGTGGTGGCTGGCTATGCGATGTTACTAAAAAGTTTTGGAAATGGGTCCATAGTTTGATGGAGGATACTAAGAGCAAGGATTCCATTTACTCCAGAGGTCTTGCTGTTGAATATATTTCCAAAGGATTATGAAAAAGAGAATAGGTATTTGACTGTTTATATGACGACAGCTGCAAGAATCTTATATGCCAAATATTGGAAAACCATGGTGATACCAACGAAACAGGAGTTTGTGAATAAACTTTTTGAAACAGCAGAAAATGATAAACTGACTCCAGAAATGAGATTAAGTAAGGAGTGGACATTTCAAAAAACATGGAAAAAGTTTTATGATTGGTATAATGCAAATGTAATAGAAGTAGGCAAGAATAGCGCAATGGACTTGAGAACACAGAAGATAGAAGAATGGAAAGTATTTGATATGGAGTTTTTATTAATTAAGTAATTGCATATAAGCATATAATGTAACTACTCTTGGTATATATGTTATGTGTAGTAGAGTGTCTGTTTGTAGTGTGTAGATTTGTTTGTTGTAGATTTAAAAAAAATTAATAAAAGTGTACCTATGGGTACTTCAAAAAAACAAAAAAACCCAAAAAACAAAAACCCACTCAGCTCAGTCTACAGACTAGACAGGTGCAGCACAGAAGGCAAACAACAAGGAAAGAAGAGACCACTATCTTCAAGACCACTGCTGCCCAACATGCATATATGCACTGCAGGCTGCCTCTTTCTTGAGTGGAAGGAGTCTTCTGTATTCAGTCAGGAAGTTAAAAGATAGCATAAGAGGCTACCTTGGAAGAACAAGCAGCTATTCTGGAGGCTATTGGAGACCAATATAAGGGATAGAAGCTACAGATACCTCAAACTGCCTGACTGTGGGTACCAAGTTGCTTACACTGATACACCCCCACCCAGCTATATACTTTATTAGTACTCCCATTTATGTGATCCGCCTTTGAGTGCAGAATAGCACACAGGTGCATCTGTAGTTACCTATCTGCTTTAACATAAAAGCACAAAAGAAACAGAAAATTACCAAAACAATCAAGATGCTGGATGATCACCCCCTCTTTCCACAGAGTCAGGACTTCAAAGAATTATGAATTGTGGAGAGAAAATTAATTTCAACACTAGAATTCAGGATGACAAGGAAGTGATCCAAGAGTTTACAACTGTATTTTAGCAATAATATGCAGTACTGCCCAACTGAAATTCAGCTGAAGTGCACTGAATAGACAAATTAATCCATGGAATGACAATACTTATATTTAACATTAATGAAGTACCATAACTGAACGAATTCTACATTATAATATTCTTAAGATTATAGAAGTCTAACTTCATTCCTTTCCACAGAATCACTACCATTTTCCCTTGGATACTCATGCCTGAAGGATATCACAGTTCAAGTGCTTGCTGCATACTAGGACAGAACTCATCAACTTGGTGACATATAGACATAGAACTTCAGAACCTAGAAAATTTTTCTTGAACTGCCCCAGTCCCCAAATACACTTCACAGAACTCTCTGGTTTGACACAAACAGGGCACAAAGAATAACCATGTTTAATTTTTAGTCAAGTGACATTTTTCTGCCTCACATGTAGTCCTACTTGGATTTAACTCCAAAGTGAGAGAAGTTCAAGCTTACTAAAGGCTGCTACAGAATCAAGGAACCTATGCCTTGGCCATCATTCTCATGCTCTACCAGCCTTAGTCAAAAGATTAAATTTTCATTCATATTAGATTTTAATTGAAGTTTTTACACAATATATTTAGGAAACTTTGTTCAGTTGTAACTGAAGAATGAGGAGTATTTACGCTGCACGAGATAGGGCTTTAAAATAGTTTGGCTGTGCTGACCCAAGAATTCTGGATAGTGTCAAAAGGTCAGTAACAACCAAAGCCTGTTACATATGTCTTGAGCACCCATTCCAAACTACACAATACTTCATGCAACATTTTTATTGTAAAAATAATTTAGATAACTTTACAGCTGACCTTTACAAATTGGAAAGTACAGAGAACTGGGCTTTTTAGGTATACCATCTCTGAATGTTAAAGATCCCCAGTTTACCTGCATATTTGTTAACTGGTACAGTTACACAAGCCATTTACTGAGCTAACATTGTAACAATGAAAACTGCAGCCAAGCTACTGCTACCATTACTAATAGACATGCAAAGGGAATTAAGAATCCAATTTTATTGGAAGAGATTCTAGTAATTCAATTAAAGCCAAGTCAGCTGCAACTGCACTATACTAACCAGAAGTTCTAAAATAAATGCATACTGGACAAGTGAGCGAAGAAAAGATAAACATTAACCATTTAATGGCTGGCCACTTTTACAAATATGTCTTTTTAGGCCCTATTATTTCAAGATGCATTGCAGCATATTTAGGTAATTTTGTAGCCATAAACTATTTTGCAACTGTTTGAAGAGACTTCTTCTCATCAGCTGCTTTCTGCTTTTGCTGCATTATTTCAGAATCTCTGTAAAAAAAGAAAAAAGAGTTTCTGTATTTTTTTTATTTCTACTTCAGTGAAATCAATATAAGGCGGGATATAAATCGAAAGTAATAATAATAAATAAATACATTTTTAATAGCCCATTGTTCTTCAGACCCAAACCTCTATTGCTCAGCAGTAGCAAGCACGATTATCAGATTCTAATTAGGCAAATCCTAGCCCAAGTCTTTCATTTTAAGTCTCCCCCCAGTAGTTTACAGTTAAAGATAAGATCACAGCCATTCAATGTTGCCCTTGATCGTTACACATTAAGAGTCAGAACTTCATGCAACTTGCCTTTGTTTCCTCTGAGAAGCAGACAAAGTATCCTCTTTTCTTTTTCCTTTGCTCTGTTCTTGAGTTTTCTTCATGTTCTTCTGGCGAGCAAGTTCACGCTGGTTCCCACCTATAAGTACAAACAGTGAAAGTGTAATATGGCAAGAACCTTATTTGCAAGTACTTTAATATTACATTAAGGTCAAAGGTGCCATACCCACTAGCTGTATGACAAGGGCTGCTGTCAGTATTCCATATCTTCCTTACATAACCTCTTGAGTACATCAACAGGAGACCAGAATAATCCTGAGAATGAATAGTCAAGCTGCTCCATGGTTTGACATGCAACTACCTCCAGTATTGCACTTCCTTCCCTAGATACCCATACACAGTTAGAATACATCACCCCCACTAATGAGACCTGGGAAACAAAGGCACCAGAGCGCTTTGGGAACACGTAAGTAGGGGTCCATGACACTTGCAGTGGAGAGAGGGGGAGTGTCATTATTTTTCACTCCTTGCTCCCTCAGACTAGCTCATCAGCAGATGGGTCCATATTGGTAAGTCTATGGTATGTAGGACAGAACTACATTATCTGCACTTTTGCAGACAACTCTTCTCCATTTGGGACTTTCTTGTAACCTCCCCTTTTTCAAGGGTTTGGATTTTTCAGCACAATTGGCTGTCCCACCAGGTTTGCAGAAAGATCCCCTTCTGTGTATAAGGCCCCAATCTGTAGCTATAAATCTGTCATGTTGAAAATTAGACACAATGATGCCTTGATAATCCTCTCCTCCTACAGTTACAAGAACTTTATACCATCCTCCTCAGTTTAACTGTGCTACTTCCTGTCCTCTTGCTGAACCTACAACTCCTTTACTTTGACTTCACCTTCCTTCATACCCTCCCTCCCATAACCTAAAGCTTTATTAACGGAATAAAATTAATTGCTGCAGTACTGTACAACCAAATTCCACACGTTAATCACTACTTTGCTATGTTCTGTACACACCAATCCCAATACACTGAACACTATTCACCATAATGATGTCTTCCATAGGACACATAAGTGTATACCTGTTAAAATATACAGTTGAATGCGTGTGGCGAACCTATGCATTACGTAGATGCTTAGCAAGAAAACAGAACTGCTGCAGCTTCCACTTAACAGTGCACTTGAATTCTTTAAATGCATCTTAATCTGATTAATCCCAACACTTGGGATTTCCAGCCACATTTCCATTGCCACAACAAAGTCAGAAACCAGCATTAGAACATAAGAACATAAGATACACCAATGTTGGATCAGGCCAAAGGCCCATCCAGCCCAACACTCTGTATCACACAAAGGCCAGAAATACCAGTGCCATCAGGAGGTCCACCAGTGGGGCCAGGACATTAGAAGCCCTCTCACTGTTGACCCCCCCAAGCACCAAGATGACAGAGCATCACTTGCCCCAGAGTCCTTATCTATACCTTGTGGCTAATAGCCACTGATGGACCTCTGCTCCATATGCTTATCTAATTCCCTTTTGAAGCCGTCCATGCTTGTAGCCGCCACCACTTCCTGTGGCAGTGAATTCCAAGTGTTAATCACTCTTTGGGTGAAGAAGTACTTCCTCTTATCTGTTCTAACCCGACCGCTCAGCAATTTCATGGAGTGCGAGTGCCCACGAGTTCTTGTATTGTGAGAAAGGGAGAAAAGTACCTCTTTCTCTACCTGCTCTTTCCCATGCATTTCTGCTCACAAAGCTATTGCAAAACACTGACTCTGTTTAGATATCATACAAAACTATGGCTTAATTAATTTGTGGTTTGTGCAATCAACTGAAGACAGATCATTCCATTAACTATTACTAGCTGGGTATAATGAATAAGGACATGAAACCATGGACATTCGTTTATTAGCCACAGTTAAGTGGTCACTATGACCTTTTGTGTGATGTATGATTGCCTGACTTAACCCTGATTTGTTTCCAGCCATTGTTTCCAGCCCAGGAAACTAGACTGATCTTTGTGTGAGAAGGAACGAAGGCAATCCAGAATCATAATAACTGCAAGCCAAATCCTGGGGAATTTCACATTACCAGTTTTCTCCCGGTTTCAAACCGGGAGTCTTCCGTTTCCAGATGAACCGGTACAGGGCTGCCGTTTCACACACGGCTTGCCCCTACCGGAAAGGAGCCGATTCACAAGCGGTTCGGCGTTTCACACACGCACCGCTTCGTTTTCCCACGGTTTTCTTCCCGCGCGGGCGATCGGTTTTTTTTTTAAAAGGTTCGGCTTATAGCGATATATCGCTATACCAGAACCTCAAATGGTCGCAATAACGATCCCATTGGAATGCGACTCCTTAGAGGTTCCGGTATAGCGATATATCGCTATAAGCCGAACGTTCAAAAAAAAAAAGCCCGCGCGACCGAAAAAAGGCGGGAAACAAGCGTATCGGAACTGGGAGAGGGAACGGGAGACTCCTCAGAAGCGGTTGACAGGTAAATCACTTCCCTCCCGGTTCCTATACGGAAGAGAGGCTTCTGTGTCTGAAATGCCACTTAGATCCTGGTAGGGAACCGATTCCTAACCGGGTTCTGTCTGAAATGACAGACCACAACCCGGTTGAGAATCGGTTCCCTACCGGGACATAGCGCCTGTCTGAAATTCCCCCGTTTCATAAACTAACCATGGTTAAAATCAACCATGGCATTGTCTGAACTGAGCCACCACCTCATGATCCACTTTACTTTCTAAAACTAATCTATAATCCACTGAAGCATTTCTACAGATGGAACCGTTTCTGCCCACAGAATGCAATTTTCTCCCTTGTCCTACTGGCATGCCTGAAATGCTGCTCCTGGATTAGAGGGGCCAACCAGGAGCAGCATTTCAGGCCTGAAGAGGGATAGGTGGGAATACACCACTTTGTGAGCAGAAACTGGTCCATCTGCTCCAGCAGTGAAGCCAAGGATTCTTGATTCCTAGAGAAAATGCAACATCACCACATATAGTTTCTTTCAGCATTTTATAAAAACCAGACAATGTAAACACATTTACATGCACTAAGAATGTTACTTCTTTGAAGGCCAGATCCTAGCCAAAACAATGTATTAAGACACTGTACCTTACAAACACCAAACTGTTTTGTTTGCTCTGCAGCCACCATAGCCTGTACAAACAGCTTGAAAATGTTGAAGCTGCATCCATACATTTTATTCAAGTTAATTTCACACCAATGCTTAACCAGGAATCAACTTCATTTAGTTACTTGAAAGCTGAAGTCCACAAAACTGGCTTTCAAATAATGACACCAGTGGCATCCACCTGGCATTTCAACAGAGCCACCTGTCAAGAGCTGGAATTTGTTGAGAGAGACAAACCAAGCATTCTTATTTAAAGCAGTCACACTGAACAAATGGCTTTTGTTTTGGCTGCACTTCTAACTTTATTTCTCACCTAGTACAGCCCAGTGGGATGAAAACCCATGACCTACTCAAATAGGAGTTTTAGACCATATTCACCAGACTGCCCCGAGAACCTTCACTATGCTCATAAAACAGTTTTTCGGGTGGGGGGGAGGGCTAGTTTAATCAACAGCCCTTCCGAAGACCGGCTGAAGAGAGACCTGTCAACAGAAGTGCACAACGATACCACCAGGAAAAGCTGCCTGATTCCCTACGCGCTATAATAACGAGATACCAAAACAGAGGAAACCCAGAAACTTCAGCTAGTCTTTCTTTAGAGCCAGCCTTCCACGCCTAAGCCCCGTGCGATATTTATTCGGAAATAAGCCCCCCACCCCTGCTACTGCCAGGGCAGCGTGCCTCGCCTGCAGCCTCACAGACCCACGCTCGTTCCCCTCCCGCCCGCCCATGCAGGGGCTCCTTCAAAGAAGGCCGGGGGGGGGGCGACTGTCCCACACACGGAGGAGCCCATTGTCTGCTCTCAGCCCTCGCGCTTGGCCAAGCGGCGCCCCCGCTAGACGCGCTTTCTCCCACTACAAACACCGCCCACAGAAGAGGCGGCGCGCTCAACAGGCAGCGGCGCCTCCCTCTGGCCGAGAGCCACCGCCAGGCCTGACCGCTCAGAGGCGCAGCGGCGCTCTAGAAACACCGGCGGGCCGAGGAGGCGGGGAGGTCGGGTGAGCCGGGCGTCGAATACTCACGGGCCATGGCGAAACAATAACCCCAGCGGTAGCGGCGGTAACCGTTAGGCACGAGCCACCGAAACCCCCCAACAACCGCTCCAATTGCCAGAACCTTCTACGCGCCCCGCCCGCCGTAGCGCCGTTTATGTAGAGGACCGCCTCTGTGATGTAACGACGCCTGGTCACGCCTCCTGCCCTGCTAGCTCCGCCCGCAATGACGCTATTGGGATCTGAGGCTGAATGCGTGGCTTTGTTATTATTTTACGGGGTCGGGGGTGTTTGTTTTGTCCTTGCAGTGATTTAACCCAACGAACAAACAAAAAAGAAGGACTATTACGACGTTTTAAAGACTTACAGACATTTTGTAGCATCAGATTCCGAGGGCTCCTGGCCACTGATCTGTTGGCGTCGGATCTCGCCCACGAAAGTTTATAGTAGCATAAATTCCAGTGCCTCAAGGTTCCTATTTGGGTTTTTATTCTGTTATTCGTTGTTGTTGCCAGCACGTAATAAAACTGCATTTACCTATGTGCACTTACTTGGAATTGACAGTGGGATTTACTTCCAAGTAAACCCGCATAGAATGAGGCACAACCCAGAATTGGTTTTTCCAGCTTTTTTTCCAAAACAACAACAAAATACATATACACCCATCTCATAAATTTTTACACCACCTCCTTAGTCTTGTACCTTGTGGAGTAAAACATGCTAGATCAGACCAGTGATCCCTCCAGTCCAGCATCTCATTTCACGCAGTGTCCCCTTTCACACAGTTGGGGGGGGGGGGGGGCAACAAACAAGGGATAGAGGCTGAGGCTGTCCCTGGTGCTGCTTTCCAACATCAACGTGCTTTAACTCATTGAAGTTAATGATTTGTGAACACCCAACTATGTACAGGATCAGGCTTTCCCTCTCCATATAGAAGTCTACTGACACCTTAAAGGTAAAGGTTTCCCTTGCTCAAAAGTTAGTCCAGTCCGATTCTAAGGGCGGTGCTCATCTCCATTTCCAAGCCTAAGAGCCAGCGCTGTCCGAAGACATTTCCATGGTCATGTGGCCAGTGTGACTAAAAATTGAGGCGCACAGAATGCTGTTGCCTTCCCACTGAAGTGGTACCTATTTATCTACTTGCCGTTTCTTGCTTTCCAGCTGCTAGGTTGGCAGGAGCTGGGACCAGAGATGGGAGCTCACTCCGTCACGCAGCACTAGGGTCTCAAACTGCTGAGCTACAGACCTTCTGGTCTGCAGCTCAACATCTTAACCTCTGAGCCAAATGTTGCTGCAGCATATGCTTTCATTGACAAGAAAACATAGGGTTACCAACCTCCAGGTGGGGCCTTGAGATCAGTTCCCCTGGAGAATGTACTGTATTGGAGGGTAGAGTCTATGGCATTGTACACTGCTGAGTAAGTTCCTTCCCCTCCCCAAACCCCCCAGTTCCCAAACTCCACCCTCAGAGCTGGTAACCCTAAGAACATTTCCTCACATCCAGTGATCGGCTTCTCACTAAATAAGTTGTTTAAATGTAAGAGATACAGGAGAAAATAAACAACAGGGTGAAGGGGTCATGACATATAGGTGAAAAGTATAAATTAAAATCTAATTAAAAATGAACATACTTTAGTTGTTGTAGATTTTCCGGGCTGTATGGCCGTGGTCTTTGCATTTCACCAGCAGCTGTGACTGGCATTTTTTTGTGCTATGTCCTTGAGGATAATGTAGAGCCAATAATACACTCTAAAGCATAAGTAATATGCTGAATACAATTGCTTTATACTAGATAGTCACTATTAAGTGTACAAAATTTCCCCAAACATTTACAATAACAAGATAATACAATAGAATGTCAGTAGCTGCCAACAGCCCCAAGATATCAATGGAAATCCTAAACAGTTACTGTTGGCAGTCAAAAGAGTATAAGGCTTATTGAGCTAAAAGCTACTAGAGCTTGACGAAGCAGCCGGCTTGTGCTTGGTTTCGTGTAATGACTTCCTCATAAGCAGCTTAACTGATGTTGTATACAAGTTTTCTTAATATGTGTAATCTCCTGGGTTTTAAGATACTTCTCTAGAGTTGCTACCATTAATATAGGGACTAGCCCTTATTTCCTTGGACCATATCTCATATGGGAGCTGTCCTTGATAGACTAAGCTTCGTAGCCAAGGTCTCCCTTACTGGGAGGTCTGTTTTGTTTGGATATCCTTGAGGATGCCAGTCACAGCTGCTGGTGAAATGTCAGGCACTACAATGCCAAGACCATGGCAATACAGCTTGGAAAATCGACGACAACTAATGAACTCTGGCCGTGAAAGTCTTCGATAACATAATGTACATGTTGTTTAGTTGCACAGTCGAGTCCGACTCTTTGCGACCCAATGGACCACATCACGCCAGGCCCTCCTGTCTTCTGTCGTGCTCATGTTCGTTGCCTCAATAGCACTGTCGAACCATCTCATCCTTTGCCATCCCCTTCTTCTTTGACCTTCAATCTTTCCCAGCATCAGGGTCTTCTCCAGTGAGTGCTCCCTTCTCATTTGGTGCCCAAAGCATTTGAGCTTCACCTTCAGTACCTGGCCTTCCAGGGAACAGTCAGGGTTGATTTCTTTTAGGATTGACTGATTTGATCTCCTTGCAGTCCAAGGGACTCTCAAGAGTCTTCTCCAGCACCATAAATCAAAAGCATCTATTCTTTGGCACTTGACCTTCCTTATAGTCCAACTCTCGTAGCCATACAGTACTACTGGGAATACCATTGCTTTGACCATATGGACTTTTGTTGGCAGGGTGATGTCTCTACTTTTTAACATGCTGTCAAGGTTTGCCATCGCTTTCCTCTCAAGGAGAAGGTGTCTTTTAATTTAATGGCTGCAGTCACCGTCTGCAGTGATCTTGGATCCCAGGAACGTGAAGTCTGTCACTTCTTCCACGACTTCTCCTTCTATTTGCCAAGGAGTGATGTGGCTGGATGCCATGATCTTAGTTTTTTTGATGTTGAATTTCAAGCCAACCTTTGCACTTTCCTCTTTTACCCTGAGCTTTTTACTCTTTAGGCCCTCTTCACTTTCTGCCATTAGAGTGGTATCCTCTGCATATCTGAGGTTGTTGATGTACATACTGTTACTTATTTTGCTAAGCTGTAATGGTTGGGGAGTCTGAAAGTATTTCAGCAAAAGTAGGGAACAGTTTCTATCTTTTCTTTATGAATGTTTACTTTTTCGTAATTTATTTATTTATTTCTGTCCTTTTGCATTTCATGGCCCAGTGTGGCGCTATGCTAATCGGATTTATTAACGATTAAATCTGAGTCAGATCGCAGCGTTCACTTTCTATTGAAATAAGCACAACTTTTGCAGAACCCTAGTTTTAAGAGTTTAAGAGCAGTGAAGCAGAGCTGTTCTGCAAGTGGATCTCTTTAGTAAAATGGGATGCAGAGCACACAGACAAAAAACCAGACGCTTACAAAGCAAACTACACGGCTTTCCTCCCTTCGGAGTTTTACGGCGTATTCAATCATTGCCTCGCTTTCCGCTTGTTTGACACGAAGGGTGTGTCCTGATCACGTGGTGCAGAATTGTTGCCACTGTTTTGTCGCAGTGTGATGACGGAAGCAGCGTGCTGTCTCGCAGCAGCTGACAGACACCGAGGGGGAAAGGAGGGGAGCTGGGCTTGGACCGGCTCAGGGGGGGTGACATGAGGCGGCCTCGCCGGCCGGAGGAAAAAGGGGACGGCGGGCTTTAGCTCGGGTCGGTGCCTGTCTGTCGCGCCGCCATGTTCCGCCGCGCCAGGTTCAGTGTGAAGCCCAACGTGAGGCCGAGCGCGGCGGCTAGAGGTAACAGTGGCAGCGGGAACAGCTCAGAGGCCCCGGCAGCGGCCCCGGAGGCTCAGCATGCCCCGGAAACCACCACTTGCTCCGCTGAGGCCAGCTCGGATTCCCAGCTGGGGCCTGCCGAAGACCTTCGGCAAGGCTGTAGTGGCGGCGGCGACAGCAGCAGGTGAGCTCTGGCTCTAGCAGCCATTTATTTTTCTTCTCCCGTAAAATCGAGCCTGTTTCTACCGGAAAGCGGAGAAGCCACAAAACCCCGAGACGTGCCTTGTTCACTTGCATCTCCGTCATGCGGTTACTTGTAAGGGTGGAAGCGCTGTCGCGATTTTAAGGCGCAGTCCTTTTCACTAGAATCGGCTGGGGGAGTTCGTTTGAGAAGCGTCCGTTGCAGAGTTATCAAAGGCTATAAATGCATGCACGGACGGACCAGCACTGTGTCTCTGCTAACACTCATAGGGACCTAAGAGGAGATCGGAGGCATCAGACCAAAGGTCAGTCTAGTTCAGCACTCCTTTTCCCATGGCGATTTAACCAGCTGCTCCACAAGAAGAGAAAGAAGGCATCAGCATCCACTTGCTGTTGCCCTCCTGCACGGTCTATGAACACAGAGGTTTCGTCAGGCCATCATGGCTAATAGCTCTATGTTCTCTGTGAATGTCTTTAGTCTCCTTTAAGTCCATTTAAACTGGTAGTCATCTTGTGGCTGTGAATTCCAGAATTCTGTATAAACCCCAATCCAAAGATCTCTTTCCTTGCAGTTGCTGCCGGTTCAGGCTCCATCCCTGTTTATGGAAAGTTAGAGATTTTTTAATTCAGTGTGCATCACTTGAACACTTTGCAGTCTGGTTAGTTTGTCTATTCAATTAACTAAGTTACCTTTCTTGAATAATTTGCTGTCATTTACAAAACCTTCAATCTCATTGTTCACCCCAATTTCACATCATTTATGAACAAGTTAAATAGCAGTGTCCTCAGTATATATATTTGAGGTATATCACTGTTTGTTTCCTTTCATTGTGACAATTAGTTGGGACTGTCCTGTGCATCCTAGTGTTTAGCTATTTTCCTGTCCCTTGACTGCTCAATTTAATCTGGATCCTTTGGTGAGGAACTTTGTTAGAAGCTTTTTAAAAATTCAGATATATCATGATTTATATAATAGTAAATGGGCAAATTAAAAAAAAAATTGCCCCAGTCTAGGACATACTTTTTTGTGAACCTGGGTCACCATGCAGGTTACAATTGACCAACATCCACAGTTACTCCTGCATAATTTTGGACATTTTTAAAGACTAAAGGTGAGGGTCTGGTGAATCTAGAGCTTAGTCATATTATTGAAAATGATTGAAACAATGATATTATTGAGATAAAGCAGGCAGCACTTTGTCCTATGAGCTCTGTCTCTTTAAGATAACTCTTTGCAGTGAAATATGAATTTTTAAATTAAAAGTAATGGAATGGGGTGGCAGGGGGGGATGGAACAACTTTATAGATGTTTGAGTATTAGGAGGAGGAGGTGTACTGATAGTTGTATTGAGTTATAATGTAGCATCTGAAAGGTTTGATTTCTCTGGTAGATAAAGAATAATGATGAACATCGACTTCCTTTTGTTGAGATATGTTGTAAATTTGTGAAGTGGTGTTTGGGTTTAAGTCTATGTATTTACATCATTGTTCACCTAATTCTGTGGGTGAGCGTGTTATCTGTAATCAGGTTTCTGTTAATGCATCATACAGCATTAGAATGTTTGTCATCGTATGGAATGTCTCTTAGAATATGGATCACTAGCGTGTAGCTTGTAATTCTTTGAGGGCTTTTATTGATTGATTGATAAATTGGACTTATAGCCCACCCTCCCCCACTCAGTAGGGCTCAGGGCAGGTTTTAACATTTAAGTCACATATTAATTAAAACAGTTACAATAAATTGTAGTCTCAGCATTAACAGTTCTAATTAGACAGCAACATAAGGGCAGCACTCACTGGAGAAGACCCTGATGCTGGGAAAGATTGAAGGTCAAAGAAGACGGGGACGGCAAAGGATGAGATGGTTAGACAGTGTCATAGATGCAACGAACATGAAGTTGAGCAAACTTCAGAGGACTGTGGAAGACCGGAAGGCCTGGCATGATCTGGTCCATGAGGTCGCAAAGAGTCGGACTCGACTGTGCAACTGAACAACAAATAAGGGCAGCTCAGGGAGTGGTTCACAGTAGGGAGCTGTCACTCACCCATGGCCATGTGCCTGGTGGAACAACTCTGTCTTGTAGGCCTTGCGAAATTGTTTCAAGTCTTGCAGGGCCCAGGTCTCATTGAACAGAGTGTTCTGCTAGGTTGGCGCCAGGGTGGAAAAAGCCCTGATCCTGGTCGCAGATAGCTGGATGGCCTTTAGGCTGGGGATCACCAGCAAGTTGTTGTTAGATGAGTGGAGCGCCATTTGGGGGATATACCAGGAGAGGTGGTCCCTCAGATATGTTGGCTCCAGACCGTTTAGGGCTTTAAAGGTCAATAGCATAACCTTGAATCTGATCCAGTGCTTAGCTGGGAACCAATGCAGCTGGTGAAGCACAGGCTGGATATGTGCTGTCATAGGTGTCCCTGTAAGGATCTACTCTGCTGCATTTTGAACCAGCTGAAGTTTCCAGGTCAGCCTCAAGGGTTGCCCTGCACAGAGAGTGTTACAGTAGTCCAGTCTAGAGGTGACTGTTGCATGGATCACTATGGCTAGGTCTTGGCGGGACAGGTAGGGAGCCAGTTGTCTAGCCTGGCGTAGGTGGAAAAACGCCATTCTACTTACATTGGTGATCTGTGCCTCCACTGATAGGGAGGCATCCAGAGTCACTATGTGATTTCTTCTCAGCAGTGTTGAGCTTGTAGCCTTGTTTTCTGTTGACAGGGTGGAGAATGCTAGCATCTAAATGTCACATTATAGTTGCTTGCATGTACAGTGCAGAAATGTTTTATGTTCTTTCAAACTGTTGTTGAGAATAAATAGTGTTGAGAATGTATAGATTTAAGCGATTTATTTGACTTCACTAGAACTGCTGAAGATACTGAAATGCTTGAGCAGTATTTGTCGAGGAACAATTGCAAGCTAATATTTTGTTAGGTGAGGGAGAGGAGGACTAGTAATTAAATCTGAGTAGCTGCAAGCAGATTGTTGTCTGTTTAGAAGTCTTTTTATTTAATGGTTATTACTTAATCTAGGGTTTTTAATAAGTAGTCATGTGAAAATAATAGTGGTGTTTGTCCTTATGTCTCTTACTGTCTCCTTCGCAAAATTATGTGTCATACTGAAAATTATTTGGAAGGATTTCCAGGAAATCAGACTGTGGAAGGTGTTTATATATTCAGAGCTTCTCTTGTATAGCATAAAAAAGTCAGTAAGGTCTGAAATGCATTTTGTATTTGAAAGACATCTGGGGCAGGCACAGCTCTTAACTGAATGTAGATTAAAAAAAAAATCAAGGTATTAATCTTGTATTTGGTAGGTGTGTAGAAGGTTGTGACCAACTCTCAAGTGAATTCAGTAATATGTAACAAATGATTGTAGAGGTGTCCAAAAAGAAATCCTAGGGCTGATTGACAGTTATTAATTGCAAAAATTAATAAATCACTGAGTTTGGATAGTATATACCCAAAAGTTCATAACTAAGAAAGGAAATTATTTGTCATTAACATCAGCCTCTGTCTAAAAGATGCGGAAATAGCCAATAAGATGCCATTTTTTGAAAAAAACCCCACCAATGAATCTTATGTGAGTAGCAAGCAGAGCTGTGTTTTTTATGCTTGTGTGGTGGCTGTCGGCTGAATCCTTCTACCTGTGTTCCTAAGACTGCTACCTGTAGCACATTTGCATAGAAGTAATCTCACATGTATAGGTTGTGGTTTTAAATCATGGTTGAAGTTTTCTGTGAGAAGGTGTATTAAAAAAGGTTAGCTGTATCAGGGTTATGAATAAGCTTTTTCACAAGTTTGCATCATTAGCATATACTAAGTCTCTTATAGTAGCATCATTTTTTTCATATGAGAGGTGAATATGAGTTTGCCTACTGCTGATATTAAATCACTAACAGTAAAAACAGTGGTTAGGACTCTGGACATATTTGCATTCAACCAGATGTGAAGCCCCAGCTTTATTGGGTTAATTTTGATGTCTAAACCAAATACGTGTTTTCAAAAATAAATTCCCTGATTTGCTGTGCTTTGGGGCATCTACTTAATTTGCTGTTAATAGTCCAACTGCCCTTTTATGACAGATTTTTTCCCCATGATAGTTTTCCCCCATTCTGAATTTTCCAGATATGAAAAGAACGGCAATCCAAGTGGTGATGGAGATAGTGGGAAACGTGCAGACACCCCTTTACAGAGACGAAAACGCATATCCACAATGCCCAATCTTGCTAAGCCAAGAGTTGCACCCCCTTCTGCGCGCTGTGCTATCATTTCAGTGTCAAAATGTTCTCAGAAGCAGGTACCTTGTTCTCCTCCTCCTGGTAACTCTGCCCTTCAGAAGGAATCACCTTCATGTGAAAAGATTAATATTGAAAATTCTCCCATATTGCCTGAGAAGAAAACACCTCTTCCTCAAGTACCACAATTTTCTCCATTTAAAAAATCTGTTAATAAGGAGGCCAGTCTGTCTGTGACAGCTCATAAAAGTGATGAAGCCCAGCAGAACAACATGTCCTCACCCCTCAAAGAGAGACCCACACAAGAAAGTTTGATTCAGGAGGAAATACAACAGGCCAAACCTGCAGCAGCAAAAGAGAAAAATATATGCTCTGATCATGAGAAAATAATCAAAGCTAAGAAGCTGAGGCAGCTGCTCAAGGAAGAATTGAAGAAAGAAAAGGTATGGTAATGTATTTTGCAATTGTTATGAGGAAGCTGATGATGGATCTTTTGTAGGGTTGTGTGACTCATGACACACTTTTCCCATTTACTTACAAATATCCCCCTCTCCTCCAGCCATGGCTGGAAATGAGCTAGGCCAGGGCTGTCAAACATAAGGCCCAGAGGCTGTAACAGGCCTATCCAGGGATCTTATGCATCCTGCAAGCAATTGATGCAAGGGAAGGGAACAGGAGGCTGCTGGGGGGGGGGGGGAAGACCCATTCTGATTGTGGCGTCAGCACAGTGGAACAACCTCGTCTGTGGCAGTCAAGCAGAAAGCCTTCACTTCAGGGACAGCCTCACAGGTAAGTTTGGAGCTGCTGCAGTGCAGTCACATTCATACCTCTCCACTCAGCCTGCAGCTCCAAGGATGGTGTCCTGGATGGCTGCAGGGATCAGAGTTTGCACATGGGTCTGTGTGTGCAGACGATCAGACAATCCTTTGTTGGGGCTTGCTGGCAGCCAGCTCCTCCACTGTATTTGTGCCCCCCATGCAGTAGCTGTGCTTTGGCCTATGGGGGCATTCTTTGGCATTGTGGTCATAGTCGTGCCACTGAGCATGCGACTTGGCAGCCAGGCCTCCGTCCCCCATGGACCATCCGACAGCCTTCAGCCGTAGAAAGCTGCCAGTGCCCGCGATATCTAGTTATATTGGGCATTGGGTGGCCTAGGGCCTCTGACACACGTGTGGCCTTGTGCGCACAGTGCTCACTCCCCCATCAGATGATCTGGCAGCCTTCAGCCTGGGATGGCTGCTGCCACATGGAGGTGGCATGGCTTGCTGACAATCTCTGGCTTGAACCCCCAGCATGTAAAAGGCATGTTGGCTAATATAGGACATTAGGATATGTATTTGGCTCCTAATTGCTATTCATATTTTTAATTATTATAGCATCCAAATAGTATGGGCATTTGAACTGAAAACATATGGATGATAGAATGAGAAACATTCTGTCTTGTTAAAAGCTGCTTCGTAACTTTCATAATCACCACCAATTGCTAAAGCAAAACTATAACAAACAAAATGCAAATAAAAATTATTGTTTGTGTTTAGCAACAGCGGAAATCCAAATGTCCGATAATTGAAAAAAATATCCCAGAAGATCGTTCAAAAATGATTATGAGAGATTTCATATATTATCTGCCAGAAAACAATCCCATGAAGTAAGTATACATTTTATTATAATTAAACCAACTAATTACATTGATATTCTGCTTTTTCCTCCAAAAATATTAGGATGGCATATGTAGTCCCTGCTGCTTTATACAGTAAACAGCTGTATAGGCTTAGAATGAGTGATTGGCTTAAGTTACTGACTGGGGCTTTGAACTGAGGTCTCCTAGTCCAAGTGCAATATTCTAACTACCACATTATAGTACCAGTAATAGTAGTTGAAAAATTGTAGGTAGAATATTACACACACACACACACACACAAGTTATGGCTTGAATCCTAAGCAGTGCAAGCAGAGTCATGCTAGAGGAAGGCCGCTTCCTTCCCAGCCCCCTCTTACTGCAGTCTTCTGTGCCCCCTGGGATTGTGCTCTTGCTGGTCACTGGGCTCAGCGCAACGGCATGGGGAGCAAATTGGGAGTCCTCAGCATGTGGAGAGGGAATTGACAAAAAAAACCCTTCACAGACAATAAAACTGTTGTTTTGGAGGAGCTGCTGCTGCACAAATGGAATGGTTTTTTAGGATCTAAGCCGATATATTTGTCTTTTTCCAGAAACCCCCTCCCCGCCCAAATTCACTGCCATGATCTCATGCACATGTATGGAGGGTTGGATCCTTTCTTATCCTCTTTTATCTCATTGGCGGGGAGAAAGCATGAATGAGAGTTTTGGATCCTGTGTGTAGAATGGTTATTTTGCTACTGCTACTCATGTCTTAATTAAGAACAGAAGGACAGAGTTCTGTTGCTTGTTTAGAAGAATGTTTCTCAAAAATGAGACAAAACTCACTTATTTGATTATTTTTATGAAGTACCCCACACCAGTCCTGTGTGTAGAATGGTTATTTTGCTACTCTTGTGTATTAGACTATACTGTGTTTTCTCTTTACATAATTATTAGCATGTAAAAGGCACTCATGTCTTTTTTAAGAACAGAAGGACACAATTCTGTTGCTTGTTTAGAAGAATGGTTCTCAAAAATGAGGCAAAACTCACTTATTTGTTTATTTTTATGAAGTACCCCACACTGTTCTCGCTGGTGGAAGGACATGGTTCTCCCCTCCTCTTTTTGTCCTCAGAAAACCCCTGTGATATTGGGTAGGCTGAGAGAAACTGACTAGCCCAAGGTCACCCAGTGAATTTCATGGTGAGCAGGGATTTGAACCTGGTCTCCCCAGTTCTGAAGCCAGCTCTTTAACTGCTAGGCCATACTAGCTCTGTTTCACTTATAAACTTTTAGAAACATCACCATTTCTAGTAATCTTTGTACAGCTATACTAAATTATGTTCCTGTCCTCAGCTATGCAGAAGAAACTTCCCTAAGGCTGCGATCATACGCACAATTAGACCCAACATAGGTGAGAATGCTGGGTGGATTTAAAGGGCGCGATCAGACAACAGCATCTGGGAAGTGCCCTGCAGCCATCAGCAACCTGTTCTGCTTCGCTGCAGAAGCGGAGTGAAACGACACTGGGGAAAATCCAGTACTTAACGGGTTGCGATGGGCCTTGGATGGACTTTCCCGTGTCTGATTGCTCCAGCATGCTCTCATGGTGTTGGGATGGTCTGATCAGGCCATCCCAACTCCGTGCAGTTGTTTCCCCTCCCTTCTCAGTATGCGCATCATCACACCCTCCATAGGGAGCCCTCGGTGTGGTAGTGTGATTCATCGATTCCTTGGTTAAGTGCATGGGGAAAAAACAACACAAAATACCCCCAACTCACCCGCAGTTGCGTCTGATCACGGACTGACGGACTGCACCCATAGTTTCAAAGGGAGGTGTGATTGTGCAACTGCAGGTCAAATTCCTCCGGAGGAAATAACCTCACTTCCCCCCCATTTTTTCTGGCACGTGTGACCGCAACCTAAGAGCCCTCGCTAAACTGTGGACTATCACACTGAGATTACAGTTTATGCCCTGGCCATGTGTGACTGATATCAGGGAGTTCCAGATAATAACTGGATCCCTAGCCCTTGCTTGTTCTCATGAACAATTCATACCCAGGTGGGTTAATCCATAGACCAGGGGAATAAGTGGATTTAAATCCGAGTATTTCAGTTAAAACTGTTTTGTCAATAAGGTTATAACTCGCACAGGAAGAGTACACAGTTTGCTGTCAAACTAAGACAAAATGTTTGAAGGTTATTTTTGAATAAATGATAATTATTTTTTGTATTGTATAGGTGTTCTTTGGTGGAAGAAAAGAAATCAGAAAGGACTTCAGCTCAAGCAAAAGAGTAATCCCCATAGTTTCAAAGGGAGGTGTGATCGTGCAACTGCAGGTCAAATTCCTCCGGAGGAAATAGCCTCACTTCCCCCCCATTTTTTCTGGCACGTGTGACCGCAACCTAAGAGCCCTCGCTAAACTGTGGACTATCACACTGAGATTACAGTTTATGCCCTGGCCATGTGTGACTGATATCAGGGAGTTCCAGATAATAACTGGATCCCTAGCCCTTGCTTGTTCTCATGAACAATTCATACCCAGGTGGGTTAATCCATAGACCAGGGGAATAAGTGGATTTAAATCCGAGTATTTCAGTTAAAACTGTTTTGTCAATAAGGTTATAACTCGCACAGGAAGAGTACACAGTTTGCTGTCAAACTAAGACAAAATGTTTGAAGGTTATTTTTGAATAAATGATAATTATTTTTTGTATTGTATAGGTGTTCTTTGGTGGAAGAAAAGAAATCAGAAAGGACTTCAGCTCAAGCAAAAGAGTAATCTTTGTATTATCTATGGGAATAGAATTGGTTACATGTCTAATCATTAATATTGATGGATTTGTAATTCTAAAGCTATATGACTGTGGTAAAGATTATAATCCTCGTATCTTTCCCTGAAGAAAATATATTGGGTAATGTATTGTTGCTGTTAATTGCTGAATGTTAAAACTTTGCTAGGGCCTGTTTAGAAGAAGGGCTAAACGGTCATTAGTTAAAGCAAGGAGCCAGAAACGAGATATATATTCAGGTGCTCTTACCCCCTTTTTATCTCTTTTTTTCCGCCGCCCCCACGAAGATTACACCTATGTTTTGCTAGGGCCTGTTTAGAAGAAGTGCTAAACAGTCATTAGTTAAATCAAGGAGCCAGAAACAAGATATATATTCAGGTGCTCTTACCCTCTTTTTATCTCTTTTTTTCCTCTTTTATTTGTTCACTGAAATATTTTATAAGCTGCCTTTCTTACAAATACCCAAATTGGTTTACAGTTAAAAATGCTACAGAGCACATAAAGCAGTGGTATATAAAATAAGAAAAACCACAATAATAGATTAACAGCAACTCGATTGCCAAAAGCTTTTCTTCCCTCTTTTTCTTTTTGTATGTAAATTCTCTCATGCCTTTAATACACTATGTTGTTATTCCCCCCTTTAAATGCTAGATTAGGAAGACCCCCAGGGTTAAGTTTAAGGATGGCTATTACTTCTATGGTTAATGGCAGCAAGAAGAATTTGTGTGCAAAATAAGAGGGGTGAGGGAAAGGCAATATCTGACCTCATGGCCGTCAGCTACAAAAAATCACTTCAGATAGCATAGCACTCTAGGCTTGCCAAATGTGCCCGGGGGCGGGTAACCCCCCGCTTCGGAGCCCCCGATTCCCGCCCTGGCGGAATCGGGGCCCGGGGGGAACCCCACCCCCGAAGCTGCGTCACCAGAGGTGACGCAGCCACGTTGCCGACGTTGGGTGCGTGGCCGAGCTCGTCGGGAGGGAAAACCATATGTTCCCCCCCAACGAGCTCGGCCACGCCCCCAACGTCGGTAGCGTCTGACGTAACTTCCGGTGATGTCGCCGCGGCGCGTGCGCGCTTTGCACGCGCACACACAGACTGCTCCCGGACGGGACGGAGCCTCTCCCGCCGGTGAGTGAAAACTATTTGGCAACCCTATAGCACTCTAAGAAGATCATGTACAATAAGACTGTAGATGGACCAACACAAACAGTACAATAAATGGTAAAATGGATTGTACCATTTCAGATTTTAGGTAAGGGATGATGTTTTTCAGAGTTCCTCCACACCAGTAACTCCTTGTAAGTAGAAAAGTAATATGACGTTGCAAAAGGCTAGGATATATCTTTTCTTCTTGATGTGATTAGTTTGAGGGGAGATTTTACATGTGGGGAGATTTAAGCTTTTGACACCCAGCACATTCTGAAATGGTTCAGCACATTATTTCACCTCATTTTGCTGCATGCGTAGCTTAAGACACACAGAGAGAGAACCTTAGAGAAGAACATGTGTTAGAAAACAGGTACTGGGGAACTTGGATGAACGTTTCTGTGAAGTATTACTTTCCAAAATTTCAGACCTGAAGAAAAAACTGTTGCTGATCATGAAGATGAAAATGAGGAAGCTGAGGAAGAAGAGGAAGAAGAGGATGATGGCCCCCTTCTAGTTCCTCGAGTAAAAGTGGCAGAAGATGGCTCTATTATTCTAGATGAAGAGAGGTTAGATTTTGACAGTTGAAAAACATTTCTAGAACTATTAGGAATTTTTGTTCCTCTCAATGCTCTTTATGGTTAATGAACTACTTTTTTGCCACAATGGAGAATTTAAGTCTTTGTTTGAGTTAATCGAAACACTTTAAAGTTATTAATTTTAAATCTCTGTTGATACAGTGCAGAGTTTCTCATGCAATCTTGGGTCCAGCACTGTTAAAAGACTATTGGTGTATTTGATTGTATCATTATTTCATACTGCATTTCTTTGTATTCTATATGTTCTGATTTAGTTTGACTGTAGAAGTTTTAAGGACCAAAGGGCAATGTGTAGTGGAAGAAAATGACCCCATCTTTGAACGTGGTTCTACTACAACGTACTCAAGTTTTAGGAGAAGCTATTATACCAAGCCATGGTCAGAAAAAGGTAGGTGCACTTTTAGCACTGTCATAGAATTACAGTGATATGTTCTTTTTTCGGATTTGCCTTTTGAAGAACTAAGGTTGCCAGATGTTGGCTTAGTTTAAGGGAATGCTGCCAGACAAAGTCAGTGTAGAGTGGCGAGATAATTTGTTTAATCTGTTTGTTATTTTTACCCTGTATCTTGATCATTCAAAGTAAAAATGTACATAATTCATTCTGTGGTATATGAAATATAAGGTTGCTTGGGAAGTGTTTGATGTACTTATGTAACGTCGCCTAAAAATCAAACTTTTGTCTACTTGTACTATTTGCAGACACACAAAGTTAACCAAGACTCCAATTGATAATTGTGGCCTCATGTAATTGTAGAGTAAAATATGCTATATTCTTGTAAAATATAGCATATTTTATAAAATCCTAGTGTTCTAATCTGAATATTCAGTGCTATATTCATTTTTTAAATTGTTGATTTGTTTCTTTACACAGAAACAGAGATGTTTTTCTTAGCTATAAGCATGGTCGGAACTGACTTTTCAATGATTAGTCAGCTTTTTCCTCACAGAGCAAGAACGGAAATAAAGGTAAATGTTTTAAAATTATAAATCACCAAAGGCATTTTCTGCATTATGAGTGCTATTCTATTAAATATATAACAATGAGTATTTGAATTAATGTTTCTTCTTAGATTAATATACCTTTGTATTTGCCAATGATCAAAGCAGGGCCTATGTACAGATTCTTTTGCAAAATTTCAGGCCTGTAAAATCTGAATATTCAGTGCTATATTCATTTTTTAAATTGTTGATTTGTTTCTTTACACAGAAACAGAGATGTTTTTCTTAGCTATAAGCATGGTCGGAACTGACTTTTCAATGATTAGTCAGCTTTTTCCTCACAGAGCAAGAACGGAAATAAAGGTAAATGTTTTAAAATTATAAATCACCAAAGGCATTTTCTGCATTATGAGTGCTATTCTATTAAATATATAACAATGAGTATTTGAATTAATGTTTCTTCTTAGATTAATATACCTTTGTATTTGCCAATGATCAAAGCAGGGCCTATGTACAGATTCTTTTGCAAAATTTCAGGCCTGTAAGCCAAATCCATTCACCACAACCTTTTAAAATGCCTTCTTCATCTCTGTCTTCATATTAGCCACCTTGAGCCAGTTCATACCGATAAGGCGGGATACACATTGAAAGCAAATAAAATAAATAGTTAGATCCCAGCTTGATTTTTATCTGACTTCTGCTTCATCTTTACAGACCATGTTAGCCAAGAGTGTCCTTTTAAAAGAAGTCATGGGGCACTTCCCAAGGAAAAGGGGCCTTATGCTGTTTTTCTCCAGACACTCCTAATCTGTGCTTACACAGTGAAAGAAACTTCCCTGGGCTACCCAGGAAACCAGCTACATGGAAACTGAAATGAGCCACCTCCCCATTCTTTTCCTATTTCCAGCAACAACTTCTTCCTTATTCATTCTTTTAGAATTATTAAAACACTTATGCTCTACTTTTCTCCCTCGAAAGTGTCCCAAGGCAGCCATTAAATTGCAGTAAACAGCACCCAACCAGGCAGGATGCTGTCTTTACAGTGGGAGAAGTACTTGTGTTTGCAAAAGATTATTAGTTTTGAGGCATACCCACCCCTCTGAGTGTGTGCCAGAACCTTCATCTGTATTCTTGGTGTGTGCCATCTATGTATATATAAAAGAAAGTCCCCTCACGCCTAGGCCAAACCGCTGGACCTAGAGACACCAAATTCGGGAGAGCGCTCCCACCATGGCGTAAGTGCTCGCTAAGAAGGGATTTTTAGAAATTTGACCCC